TCTTTAAAAATTATAAAAAATAAATTTCCGATAAAAATAAAATACCATTATTTGATTACTTACCTAAAACGAATATCTTTTGCTACTTCAGCACCTACAATAAATGGATAAACATGGACTAAAGAAATTATAATATTACTGTTTGAATGTCTTAACTCCGTATGTAATGACTCAGCTAATCCTTGAACTGCAAACTGTGCAGTGGATAAAGAAACTCTTTTTCCTCCTGTGGCAGCACCAGAAAGACCAGCCACAGATGACATAACCACTATATGACCTTTACCAACACGCTCCATACATGGTAAAACCGTATCTAATAACTAAAAAAAGATTTTATATAAAAAAATTCATTAATAAATTATTTATTATTCAAGTAATATTTACCCAGAAATGACTCAGGATAGTCAAATCAATTGTATGTCTTATTTCTGGTGGATCTTGAACTAATGCTCTAGGACTTGGTATACTGCAGCAATGGAAAAGCATTGTAACTTCACCTAATTCTGATTGAATAATATTCACTGTATGAGCTACCTATTATATTTTATTTACAATCAAATCAATTTAATATATTTATTACATAATATATTATATATTTACTTATTGTTACATTTATAATGATGTACTTACTTCATCTTTATGTATTATATTACAAATATATACTTTAGCAATTCCTAATGATTTAGATGCTAACTGTACAGTATTATTACAATTTTCAATATTAATATCTACGCAAGCAACATTAACTCCAAGTTGACATAAATGAATTGCTAATTCTCTACCTATACCTCGTCCTGCACCAACAACCTAAAATCAAAAAATAATTTTTAGATTTAATAAATTTTTTTATAATTGAAATTATATAATTATATTACCATTGCAACTTCTCCACGAAGGCTTTTTAAAGGAGGAGGTCTAAATATTCTGTATAATGCAATTAAAATAGCAAAAAATATTCCAAATAAAAGTGTCACAAGATCTACTATTAAAATAACCAGAGAATATAATCTGAGCAGCATCTTTGGTGGTTTAAATTTTCTTTTCAAATTCTTCTGCAATATAAAATTATATTTGTTTCTAAATTATTTAATTAATTTAATATATTTAAAAAATATTTAATTGTTAAAAATTATTTTATTATTGTAATAAACAGAATATTTACCATTTTATTAAATAAAATAATCAAAACTAAATCGTAATAAGAAAATAATTTGAATAAAATAAAAATAAGATGAAAAAATGTATTAAATCTGAATATTATAAATAAATATAAGTATTTTATATTGAATTATTTTTTATATCATTTATTTTTATATCAAATTACGTTACGATATTTATGATAACACAATATCAGGATTTTACATAGTAAATAGAATTTATATAGTAAAGTATTATTAAAAATTTATTTAAAATAATTTATGATTATTATAATATTGGAAAGCATTAGTATAAATTTTTTGATTGTATTTAACAAAAATTATTAAATCTTATTATTACATACCACGTATTCGACAATACTTTTTAAAACTTTTAACCGCCGTTGCTTCTAAATCTTTTAAATAGATTTAAATAAAACAATTTTAAATTTCATAGTATATTATTCACTAAAAATAAAATTGAAATTAAAAAAGGTAATTTTAATTAAAATATTAAAAGTATTAGAAATACTAAAAGATTTTATATATTTAACCTTTCATTCGTTTCAAAGAATTATTTAAACTTTATTTGCTTATCTTATAAATTCAGTAACTATATGATACAATTTTATTGACATAAATAATTTATTTTAATTTATAAATATAATTTTTAATTTGACATTAAATTCATTATATAAATTATATTCAATTTATATTTTTTTTTGTATTTTCTATGATTAAATTGTATTTGTGGATACATATGTAAATATTCATGTAAATACAGCATAAGTGTATATATTTTAAATATTTTAAAGTATGCAATTAAATACATGATAATTTAATGTTATAAAAAAAATGTATCGAATATTTATTTTGATATATGATTTTTAAATGAGATATATTTATTTCAATAAGTTTTTTTTAATTGAATTAAGAATTTTATTCTTTTATTTATTTTATTCTTATGTACTTTTATTCTTTATAACTATGTTTTGTTATTTTTGAAAGTTTTTTGTTAGTTTTTTAATATCTAAATCGAAAATAAACAATATATGAAATTTTTTATTCAAATTCATATAATAATAAATATAATTAAAGATTGTATTCTGTATATATTACGTGTTATATGCATTATATCGATTTGGCAGAAAGTGACGTAATTATTGAGGATAGTTTATTACATTATTATTTAGATCAAGAAATTTATTCAAAATGTGGTATATGACTTTACCACCAATAATTATAATAGCAGTATGTTCGACATTACCAGCGTATATAGCACCATATGTGAATAATTTTATTGATGGACATGTAAGTAATTTTTCTAACATAACCTCAATATAACATGTAAATATTATTTAAATATATTGAAATATTAATTAAAATTATAAATGAAGATATGAATATAAAAAATATTTAAAAATAAATAATATATGATTTATAAATAATATATGATAAAGATAATATATAAAATAAAAAAGATTACTATTTGAACAATTATTTTCTTTTTTTAAAATAAAATTTTGTTTTATGTAAATTTTTATACAATAAATGATTTTATAAATATTATATATTATTATATATGTATTATTTGTTTAGATTTATTTATTAAAATTTATATAAATTTTTCTACCATTGTTTTTCTTCGCTAATTTTTCTATATTTTATTACAGAAGCAAAAGAGATTCCATACTACTCATTTAGAATTAATAGGATATGCTAGAGACTATGAAAAAGGTGATAATAAATACTGGAATTTTAAATTAAATAGAAATATAATTATGTAATAATTCATAATCTTTCTTAATTATAATGATATATTATTATAATTAATAATTTTAAATTTAATTAATATAAACAGATTTTTAATATAATTATTTTATTTTTTATAGGATTCCATTCCAAATAAATAAAAGCATATTGGCTTATATTAAATAATATTCATTATTTTAGTGAAGTTATTATGTAAAAATCATATTGTAATATATATAATGAAATGTATAATTTCAGATTTTTTAATTCTCCTAATTATAAAATCTATCATTTATTAAAAATTATTTATTATTTATTATTTATTTAAAAAAATGCTATAAATATGTATAAATTAATTATAATTATTTTTATTTATTGTAATTGTAATTATAATTATCTTCATAAATTTTATTAGAAATTTTAATGACAAATTATAACATAATAATACTATATTTATAATTAGTAAAAAATGTATAATAGTACTATATCTTTAATATAAAATATAGAACATACAAAATATAATATTATAAGAGTAATTTGATAATTGATAACTTTGATAATTGATATTATGTAAAAGATATTTTATTTAAAATTTTATAGCTTTATTGATGAAAATTTAATCATATATCAATTTAATCAAACTTTTAATCATTATTTAATCTTTTCAGAAGT